CACACCCCACCTGCCTACAGTTACCACCCAGTAGTCCAGTCAAATTACTAATCCACCAGATGGATTAGCCCACTGATCAGGTCATGGCTAATCAAATCAGTGGTGTCATCACCTGTTGTGATCTGATCATTCCACCCACTGCACTAACAAGGGAGCTCTGGGGGACACCTCATAGTCACACCGTAACACACGGGAAGGTGTCTGAGAGACTGAGGCCGAGGTGCTGGATGGTGTGGTCATCGATGTCAAAACCAACCAGAAGGATGCAGGGACCAAATTCATTTTCAAAGAGGGGACAAAGCCAGCCCTGGTGGACCACACCTGTAATCCCAGCTGCTCAGGAAGTTGATGCAGGAATATCACAAGTTCAGGGCAATTTAGCAAGATCTGTCTCAAAAATAAAAAGGACCGGGGATGTAGCTCATGGCAGAGCACCCCTGGGTTCAATCCCAGTCCTGGGAAAAGAAAATAGAGGGGCCCAAGGTTGTCAAGAGCCAGCAATTGACAAAGGTGCAACGCCACAGGACCGGACCTCAGGGCCATTTCATGCATACTGAGAGCAGTGTGGGGAGCATTGCACCCCCAAGAATATGGGAGGAGAGAAGAGAAATGGGCTCACGGCAGGAGGCCTCGCTGGCCCTGCCTCGCTGGCCCTGGCTGCAACATGTGAGGATCCAGGGACGTGCTAGGAAAGGGGTGAGGCCAGGGTCAGGCGGTGCAAGCCTCCTGGAGATCAAGGGTAGACAACTGCTGGGCAGGAGTAGGGGGCTCACCCTGTAGGTGTCAGCAGGGCTGCCGGGCCACAGTGACTTGACCTCACCTGTCGTTCTGGGACTCGTGTCCAGGGACTCATCTTCTAGGCTTGTGATCCTGCAGGTCTGGGGTGAGATTTGTATTTCAGAAAAGGCATGGGGTGGGCTGGGGTATAGCTAGGTGTAGAGCACTTGCTAACCATGCAGAAGCTCTCTGGTGGCAGGGATGGTGGCCCACCTTCCTCCTCATGAGTTGTCCCCGTCCCAGGAAGGAACTCTGCTACTGGCCCCCTTAGGAGAGATTCGAGAAGCCTGGTCAGCCTGGCTTGCATGCCGGCCAGGTAAAGACGCCCCCAAAGCTGCCTTTTTCGTCGGTGCATGCACATTTGGATTCTTTGCAAAGGGCTAGGGAGCTTCTGCACAATTTCTCCCCTCAAAGGAAGACACACACGCTACCTTTGATTTACAATCACATCCTTCAGATTATTGTTTTTAGGCTGGTGCGACCAGATGGGGAAGATGGTCCTCCTGTTCTCTTCTTATCAGTACTTACTAATTAGCGGTATAGCTCTGCCACACAAGCAGAGGTTCTGGAATATCTGACATGGTTTTCTAATAAAAAACAACTTTTAAGGGTTGGGGATGTCACTTAGTGGTAGAGTGCTTGCCACCTTGCACAGGCACTGAGAATAATAATAATAAAACTTTAGAATTGATACTCTTTTTAAAATCTTTTTTTAATTGTAGATGGATACAATACTTAACTTTTTTTATTTTTATTTTGTTGTCTTGCTTGGGATTGAACCCATGGCCTTATAGCATGCAAGGCAAGCCCTCTATCAACTGAGCTATACCCCCAGCCACAAGTTCGATTTTTAAGAATGTATATATATATATGCCTGTAATTCCAGCAGCTGGGGAGGCTGAGTCAGGAGGATTGCAAGTTCAAAGCCAGCCTCAGCAACAGCAAAGTGCTTAGCCAATCAGTGAGACCCTGTCTGTAAATAAAATACAAAGTAGGGCTGGGGATGTGGCTCAGTGATTGAGTTCAATCTCCAGTACCAAAAAAAAAAAAAAAAAAAGAATGTATATATGTATTTTTTTTTCCAGTATTAGGGATTGAATCCAGGACCTTGGACATGCTAGGCAAGTGCCCTACCATTGAGCTACACCCCAGCCCTTTTTCAAAATCTTGAGACAGGGTCTCACTAAATTGCCCAGGCTGGCCTTAAACTTGTGATCCCCCTGCCTCGGCCTCCTGAGTAGCCGGAATTATAGGTGTGCACCACCATTCCCACCTTAATGTGTTTCCCTTGCCACGCTGGGCATCACACCCAGGGTCTGCCCATGCCAGACAAGTGCGCTACCACTGAGCCACAGCCCTGGCCAAAGACATCCAGGTGTCTCCCCCAGGCCTGCCTGGCTTCTGGCACTGACCAGTGTGCTTTGTAGTGACTTCCTATCCTCCTCCTCTAGGACTGAGTTCCTCACTTCAGTGGTCCAGGGCCCGCCACAGACTAAGCGTTCTGAATGCATCACAGACGAAGAACCCGGATGGATGAGGGTGCATGAGGCTGTGCCTGTGAGGGTGGAGGGAGGCTGAGGCGCTGGGGCAGCAACTGCCAGTCAGGAAGCCTTCCTCCCAGAGGAGGGGGTTAAAGGAAAGGGAAGTACAGGTGAGGCTTGACCATCACATCAGCCGCTGGAGGCAGGAGCTGACACGAAATAAAGGATTGCAGCAGATCCTCGTGGGCCTTTAGGGCCAAACTAAGAAGCTTACACTGTTCAGACTTCTGTTAATTAGCCACCATTTATCACATCTAATTGTGTTAGTTTATGGGATGTCTGTGTATCCTCACTGTGACTTCTCAGGGGAGGGATTATCTTCTATATATAGTTGAAGAAATAGTTTCAGAGAGGGAAAGAGACTTACCCTGAGTCACACAGCAGAGCTGGAATTTGAACCTGCGTTGGAGTGACTCCAGAGCTGCTGCTGCTCTCAGAACAAAACAGACAAACCCACCAAAAGAAATCATGAGGCTCATAATATCAGTGAGGCCACCGCTAATGAGCAAATACTGATAAGAGAGGGGTTTTGAGGAGGGGTCAGGGGTGACCTCATCTCTCAAGACATATTTGGGCAGGATGTCTCCCCAGCTACACCGTGAGCATGGGCAACTCGGTCATAGCCTCCTCCGATAGGGACCTTCCTCCCCTGGACCACGTACCAGCTGAGTCCAACACCGAGCTGGACAGCAGTCATCAACATGGCTGACGCAGGCAGACTCGGGTGCAAGGGGAACATGGAAGGGGAGGAGGAGTGGTTGGGAGGGGGAACGGCAGGGAGACCGTGGTAGGAGCCCGTGGAGTTTTGCCCCCAAGCTCGGCAGACCACCGAGATCCGGGACGGATTATCTCATCCACCAAAGGCTGTGTGGGCGATGAGCCCAAGACCTAAGAGGGAAGGCGACCTGCCCAAAGTCACCCAGCTGTCACAGGCTGATTTTCCGTTGGAACACTCACCTCCTGACTTCCAAGCCAGTGCCAACCAGGAAGGGCGGGATGTGGTGCCAAGATAGGACAGGTGGCACAGAAAGGCCTGTTTTGCCACCAACCTGCTGTGTAACCTTGGGCAATTCACTTCCCCTCTCTGAGCCTCATGTTCTCTTTCCTCAAAATGAGAGCATAACCCCAGCCCTGCCTTTCCGTCAGAGAGGGCCCAGCAAGCGCTGAACTTGGAAGGCTCTTCAGACTCTGCAGAGCCCTGGGAGGGGAGCGACTACCAAGAAACAGGCTGGCTCCAGGTAGAAAGTGCCAAGGCTGGTCCTGGTCCCACCAGGCTCCACTCAGCCCTTGCCCAAGCCTGCAGCTTCCTTGGTCTCTGCCCAGACTTCACCACCGGGTGGTGGCAACAGCTCACCTCCACCTCCCTGCCAGGAACAGACGCCTCAGTCAGAAGTGCCAGCGGGAGAATTGCCTCGGTTGCTGACCTTGCCCTTGGATCTTCCTCCCACACTCTCTCTGACCCTTCACCTGGGCTTCCTCCTCAGGCAGGCCTCTTCCCGGGTGGCAAGGTGGCCACCAACAGCTCCAAGCTGATACCATCCCCCATCCAGGTATCCTGGTAGGTAGAGAATGGCTCTGCCTGATTGTCCCAGCAGATACCCAGAGTGCTCAAGAGGGTGAGTGCCATCCCTGAGCCCAGCATGGTGTCTGATTACTTGGCCAGGCCCGTGTTACCTGCCCTCCTCAGAAACTAGAAATGGGGTCAGCCCTCCCCAAACCACATGGACAGCACAGGGGGAGGTAGCTCTCTAAACAGAGATAGATTCTGTCACCTGAATAAGGGACATCAGACAGGGTCAAACATAACAGTTATCCAGGCACCTTTGTTCCTGAAGACTGTTCCTAAAAGATTTTGTGTGTGTGTGTGTGGGGGGGGGGGGTTTGAAAGGCAGTGTCCATCGAGTCCTGTGTGTATCAGTTAGCTCTTGCTATATAACAAACACTCCAAAGTGTCTTGGTTTAAAACAGTCATTTTGTTTAGCTCATGATTCTGCGGGCCAACGGGGCAATCCTGCTCTGGGCCATGTGTCTGAGGGTGACTGGCTGTCAGCAGGTGACCCTCGTCCTCCATCAAGTCAGCTCGGGCTCCTTCACTGGGTGGTCTCTGTTACAAGTGAAGCAGGTGGGCAAGCGCCAGGGCACTCCTTTCTCAAACTTTCACATGCGTCATCTTCTGAAGTTCATTGGGCAAAGCAACCAATCTACCATAGCTCCCTCAGGGAAGGGGAGTAAAAAAAATCCCTTCTCTGTGGCCTGGGGATTCCGTGGGCCAGGACAACTTCTAATTGGTGACAGACTCCGGGCTTTCCCTAGGGCTGGGGTTCAGTCCTCTCCCTCACCTGCTGGGGAGCAGCCTGGGCCCTGACCCCAGCAGCCTTCCCAGGTGGGGAAGGGGCAGGAGCTGGAGCCCCAGTGGGGAGGGTGTCCTGAGCAGGGTAGGGGTATCCTGGCTCCTGCCTCCCTCCAGCGCACCCCAAAGTGATGACCAGGCTTTGGGGCCCCTCCCTCGCTCCTACAGACTTGCCCCCACTTCCCCGCATCCCTTTGGTACTGAGGAGCTGGATGTCTCTGAGACTTGCCTTGTCGCCATGGTAACTGGCATCACCTGCTCCACAGGTCAAGGGGGCGTGTCTGACCTTCCCTCGCCAGGACCACCGTGGGCTCAGCCTCTCTCTCCCACAGGTGGCTGCGCTGCAGCGGCAGATCTTTGACTTCCTGGGCTACCAGTGGGCTCCCATCCTGGCCAACTTCCTGCACATCATGGCCGTCATCCTGGGCATCTTCGGCACCGTGCAGTACCGCTCCCGGTACCTCATCCTGGTATGACTCACTGCCCCTTCCTGAGCCAGCCCCTGCCCTCACCCCTGTCCACCCAGCCCTGCCTGCTCCTCCAACCCTGGGTCCAGATGGACTGGCATTGGCCTCCACCGCCGAGGGGCTGAACGTCCAGGTCCCAAAGGACCTTTGCTCAGAGACCAGGTTGATATTTTTCTCAAAGAATTTTCCAGAGAAACAGTCCCAGCATCAACAAGATATTCCATTTAGCAAGTACCCAGCATGCACCAGGCACACTACTGAGATTTTCGTGGGCCCCGTGAGGTGTGTCCTACCATCTCCATTTTCCAGATGAGGAAGCTGAAGCTCAGAAAGGTCATGAGGCTTCCTAAGGTCACACAGCTAGTGAGGCAGAGCCGGGATCAGAACTCAGGTCTGGAACCAAGGCTCTTGCCCCATCACGCCTCAGTAAGCCCTGGGGACAGCCACAGGAGGGATGGGCCTCAGGCTGTTTCTCAGAGTGCTGAGGGGGCTTTGTGGGGCTTGGGTTTTGTCCTTGCTGACTGATGTTCATCAAGGACTGGAGCCACGAGTGTGGCTTTGAAGTCAGTGGCTCCCTGCCCTCTAGCCCCAGGGGTCTGACTGTGTCCCCAACACCCTCCCCCACCTCCTCTTGGCCTCTCAAACTCCTGCTTTCAGTGAGACTCACCCACGTGCCCTGCTGATCCTCAGTGACCTCCTTACATGGCTGTCTTGAGGGAAAAGCTTCCTATGAAATTGACCCTGTTGGTACCTACAATGACGATGGCATGCAATGTCACCAAAGCCCACTCACTCTCTAGGACTTCTCCCCACCTCCCACAGGCTCAGCTCTCAGGAGCCAGATAACAGGGCCCTAACAAAGCTCTGTCGCTGGCACCGGGAACACTTCTCCCAGCCCTCAGGATGGCCCCAGGCCCCACAGGCAGAGCCAGGTCTGCGAGGGGCAGCCGCTGGAGTTGCAGGCCCAGGCCTGGCCTGGAAACCGCAGCTCCCAGACCTCTGTGCTCTGCCATAGCTGGCGGCCCGGGTAGGATACTGTTCTCCCAAGAAGTGGTCACATTTGAGGTGTGGGGAACCTGAGGGGCTGAGAGGTCCCTGGGCCACCCTAAGGCTTGGGCCCTTTGTCAATGCATCCTGTTCTCGCTCTGTAACTGCTCCTGAATGGCCCAGGTCCACAGGGCAGCTCCAGCAACCCTTCCACCAGGCTCGGGGAGAGGCAGGAGCAGCAGTGTTCAGGTAGCCCTGGGCCCCACCTGAACCCACCTCTGCTCTCCCCAGTATGCGGCCTGGCTGGTGCTCTGGGTCGGCTGGAATGCGTTCATCATCTGCTTCTACCTGGAAGTTGGACAGCTGTCGCAGGTAAGCCTCAGGCCTGGGCAGTGCCGTAAAGCAGAACCTGACCCTTCCCATCCCTGACCCCAGGTCTGTGGTATAGACCTAGAGCATCATCTCTTCAAGATACCTCCCTCCCTCTTCTACACACTCAAACCATCTGGATACCCCATTTCCCTCCTTCCCCCCGCCCCCCCCCACAACTTTTGTTTCTGGCCTCCTTTGCATTTCTCAAAGGCTGAAGAGCAACTGAGGGTCCCAGTTGATCGCAAGCTTAGTATAAACCAACAGCATGTGCAGGCACAGAAAGTAGTCTTAAGCCCTATAAATAGCAGTAGAATATTCAGAGCAAAGGAGGTGAAAATTCCGTGCACATTGTACTGTTTAGACAAAGATGTAGGTCCAGGGCTGTTCAATATTTTTCAGGAGGGAAACAGAGTAGTTTGTGTTTATTCAGGAAAAATTGAGCAGATCCTATTATGTGAAGAACTGCTAAAGAAAGTGGGGTTGTCTAGCTTTAAGAAAAGCAACCCCGGAGAGACACTACTTCTACTTTGAGAAACGAAGGAGGCAAAATATGTGAATAAGAGCTTCATCTTTGTGATTTGTCCCAGCAGTGTCACTCTGGGCAATGGTTTGTCCTCTCTGAACTACGGTTTCTTCCTCTAGAAAGTGGAGATAGTAGCAATCCCAAATTCATGTGGTAGCTGACGAGATCCCACATCTAAGTGAATTTTGACTTGGCTGAAGGAGTATGAGATCAGTGAACCCAGGGCTGCCCAGCCTGGGTAAGGTCTGATCGTGGCCAGTCCCTTCTCCATGTGACAAATAGGAAGGCTAAGGATCAAACAGAGGAGCGATTTGTCCAGGGTCAAACAATGGGGAGAACAGTGAAGAACCCATCAGCTGTGAAAGGGTCTCATTAAGGGTTTTACCAATGCTTGGGGAATTGTTCCTTGTCATTGGTAATGTCCCTTCTGGAGCTCTGAAGTTCTGAGGCTCCTGTAGGATCCTCTTTCCATCTTCTCAGTGGAAATGAGGCCTACACGGTCATCGAGCACCACCTAGTGGCAAAACGTGTACTTGCAGGCTCAGTCTTCTCTGTTCCCTTACAAACCAAACAGGAGGCTCTAGGTCTAAGTCCAGGTGTGAAGTGGAGCCTGGAAAGGATACCCCCTGCCCTACTCAGTGTCCCAGGCCCCTCTGCCCCCAGGACCGGGACTTCATCATGACCTTCAACACATCCCTGCACCGCTCCTGGTGGATGGAGAACGGGCCAGGCTGCCTGGTGACCCCTGTCCTGAACTCCCGCCTGGCCCTGGAGGACCACCACGTCATCTCTGTCACTGGCTGCCTGCTTGACTATCCCTACATCGAAGCGCTCAGCAGCGCACTGCAGATCTTCCTGGCGGTGAGTCCTGTGCCCAGCCCATATGTACTCCCAGGGTCAACCCCTTTCTTTACCCCTAGTTAGGGGAGGACAAAGGTGGTTCTTCCAGCCTACTTGTGCTTCTGCCTGGATCTGTTTCCCTCTCATGACTCCTCCCTCTCTCCTGCTGCAGCCCCCATGAAGGGAACAGGCTTAATAAGCAGGATGAAGCATCAGACCATGAGTCCAATATCTCCCTGTCACCTTAGGCAAGCCACTTGCCCTCTCCTAGCTTGTTTCCTTTATTCACAAAAGGGAATGACAGTGCTGAGCATCTTGGCAGACACTTGTAATCCTAGCGACTTGGAGAGGCTGAGGCAGGAGGATTATAAATTGGAGGCCAGTCTCAGCCACTTAGTGAGATCCTGTCTTAAAATTTTAAAAAGGGTGGGGGATGGGCTAGGGATGTGCTCAGTGGTAAGTGCGCCGAGGATCAATCCCCAGTACCAAAAACAAAACAAAACAAAAAACAATACCAACCTAATAAAGTTGTGAGAATAAGGGGCTCCAAGATAGTAGGAACCCTGTCCTAAGCACTTTACACCCACACAGTCACATAATCCTCTTTCCTCTTAAGCCATTAAAGCATTTCCCAGGTCTAACTGGGAAAACTGAGGCTTAAAGAGGTAATTACTTGCCTGAAGTCGCCCTCCCAGAGTGAAGAATGGGATCAGGTATGTTTGACTTTTAAGCGTAGGCATTTAACTTGAACTTGTTGGCCTGGATCGGCTGGGGGTTCAAGGAAAAGCTTCCCTATTCTGTCTGAAGTGTGGTCCCCTCCCCCAGCTGTTTGGCTTCGTGTTCGCCTGCTACGTGAGCAAAGTGTTCCTGGAGGAGGAGGACAGCTGTGAGTAGGGCGCCCCAGGGCGCTGAGCCTTTCAGCACCCTGGACAGGGCCCCCTGGAACTGGACGTGGCGGGGGTGGGGGAGCAGGCAGGGTCAGCCAAAGGCCCCCTTTCGAAATGTTGAAGAGCCCGAGGGGTGGGTGGGGGTGTGTACAGGCAGCCCATTCTAGGTTCAGCCCCAGACGTCCAGGTGCCCGATCCAGGGCCCCAACACGCCCTTTCCCAGTTTGGCCCCCACCCCATAGGAGGTATTGTCTCGCCCCAAAGAGCCTTCTCTCCTATGGGACCTCTGCCTCCCGGCTGGAGAGTTGCGGGGACTTGACCCCCTGCTGGGCCGGCTCCCCCCTCCCTCGGATTCTGGCCCCAGGGCCCGGGACCTCCTCAGCGCCCCCCTCCCCGCGTCTCTAGCCGGGGGTAGTGCCCTGATCCTTCTCTTTCAGGACCCAGCCCCTCCTAACTTGTCCTCTCCCCTCCTGCAGTTGACTTCATCGGTGGCTTTGACTCCTATGGATACCAGGCCCCGCAGAAGACGTCGCATTTACAACTGCAGCCTCTGTACACGTGGGTCCTGGCTCTGGCTGGGTGGGCTGGAGGGACTGGGACGTCAGTGCCAGGGAAAGAAAGGGACGGAGGAGTGGGGATCTTCCCGCCCCACGCTCCCCCGTCCGCCTACGTCCTCCCCTAACCCGCCTTTGTTTCCTGCAGGTCTGGGTAGCTTCCGCCCCGCGCCCACCAGGACGCCGCGCCCTTAGCTGCTGGACTGACCACGGCTGCCGCGAGCACCGGCCAACATGGGCAGGCGCGCCCCCTGGCGGCTCGCGCACCGCCTGCAGCCTGCGCGGCCCCGCCTGGATCTGCAGCCAGAGGAGTGGACTTGGACTTGGCCCTTCAGCCCGGACTTACCGGGTGGGGCCGGGAGGGGCGGGGCGGGGGAGGGGGATCGCCGGGTTTGTATTTTTTTTATCTTAGCCTTGGAGTGCGCCGGGGCCTTCCTCCCTTCTTGAACCTTTCCCTTTCACCCTTCACCCAGCATCTTGCCCCTTGTCCAGAGAGAAACAGCAGGACAGACAGGCTCACCCCACCTTACCACACATTCACCAGCCCTGGGGAAAACTAGGGGGAACTAGGAGCAGGAGTCCTCCTTTCCAGTCGTAGCTCCATCACTGACACCCTGTGTGACATCTAGCAAAGCTCTTGCCCTCTCTGGGTCTTGGTTTCTTCATCTCCAGTGATTAAAACGATCCTTAGCAGATGGACTCTTCTAATTTTCTCATTTGACTCAATCCCCTGGGTTAGGTTGGGATTATAAATTCCATTTTGTAGGCATGCAAATTAAGGCCCAGAGATGTGAAGTGGTTTGCTTGAGGCCACACAGCTAGGTTTTTGGTGGAGCCAGGCCTTGAACATAGTGGACTTACTATAGTTTCTGATTCCAAAACCCAGTGTCTGGTCTCTGGATTCTGTTTCCAAGCCTCCTCCCAGCTTGGATACTCCACCTCCACACAGCACCTCTCTTAAAGCAATATGCCCATTTGTTCTATTGTTGGGAACCTGATGGACATGGCCACAAGCCCTGAATTCAACCTGACTTATAGGGAAGGCTTTCTAGACTCACAATCTACAGGCCCTTGGCAAACCTTCAAAGCTCTCTCCTCCAGGAAAGTGGGGTGCAACTCACCCCCCTCCCTCCAGGTCCCTCAGGCCAGGTCTGCACCCAGGAACCCATCCCTCACAGCAATCCCACCAACCCCTGATGGCTCCATTCACCTCACCACCTAGAAGACCCGTGGTTCCAGCTGGGAGGAGGATTGGTGGCGCTGCCCAGCCACTAGTGTTTACAGACTACCAGCGTTTGTGACCACCACAACATCCAGAAACTACCCCTAAAAAGCCCAGAAGGCCCTCTGAAGGGACAGAATGGGGCGTGAATCATCGGGGTGGGGCATGAGGAGGACCTGCACCCATCTTTCTGAGACAAGTAGAGGCAGAGCTTTTCTTTCCAACCTCCCTCACAGATACCCCTGAGGCCCCCACATTCTATGCGCTGGCTGGTGAGTCCACAGAAGAGGATCAGCCTCTTAGTCTGTGAAATGGCAGCCTGGGTGGGAAGAAGGATGGGAGGGAGACCTAGGGTGACCGGAGGGAAGCCCAAACAGGGGAGGCGGTTGCACACACATGAGACTGTCTACAGTGCCCACCTCCCTCTGTGATCCCACTAGGAGGGTGACCCTGCCCACTAGCCCTTATGCAGTGCTGTGCCAAGCACCAGCCCCAGGAGTAACTGGCCACCATAGACACCGAGGTCCCAGGAGGTCAGCCTAGTCAGCTGGTGGGTACAGCTCCAGAGAGGGACAGTCCCCTTCAGGCTGGGCTGTCCCCCTGCCAGTGGGTCACTCCTGCTTGCGGCCCTCACTTCTCCTACACCCCCACCCCCAGGCCTCTTTCTACTTGGAGGGGTCTAGCCACTGGTGCTTTGAAGCCTTTTGTTTTTATAAGCTGGTTTTTGCAAGGGGACCAGTTTCTCTTCTCATTGGGACCTTGCAAGGCTAGGAGTGCTCTCCTGGTTTCTGTGCAGGTGGGTTGATTAAAGATGGTGTTTTCTTCTCTGTTTTCCTGTCCTGCCCTCTGGGTCAGAAAGACCTCTTAAGAGAAATGTCCCCATGGGGGAGAGCCAGCAAGGCAGGGAGGCCATGTCATCATTAGTATACATTCTGGATACTGACCTGTGCCTCCCAAGATGCTCTCCCTCTTTCCAAAGGAGAAAGGAAAAAAACCCACCAAGGTCACACTAAATCAGTGGGTTCCCAAACCTGGCTTCACCATCCCTTGGAAAGCTTTCTATTTATTTTTGTGATTAAGTGGGCGCTAAGTTGATGCTTCCAAATCCTCTTTGTGTCTCGGCTCTGCCTCTCCCTACAATCCAGTTCCTGGCTTGGACCAAGCTGGCAGACAGAGCTTTCCACTTGAATTCCTGCATCCTACCCTCCCTGTCCTGGATCCTTTTCTGGTGATACAGCCCAGAAATTAAAACTTAATTTTTTAATGACACGTAGTATGTTACAAAGTTCAGACGGTTCCAGGAAAGTATATCCTACACCTCTTTTTCATCTTTCCAAACATAGTCAGTTATATCTCTATACAAATATTCTTTTCCCCCTGTGTTCACACAAATGGCAGCATTCTGCTTCTTCCACTTGGAAGCAGTCTTGGAAATGTTCCCCCGATAATACATGGGGAGCTGCCACCTGCTCTTCCACAGCACCCCCTCCTGATGTAGGGGATCTTACATAAGGATGCCCCAGGTCTGCTGCAGCTCCAGTGGACCATGGCTGGTCTTGGGGCCCCTGGGGAAGATAAGTCAGGCCCTGCCTTCAAGGTCCAGTGGGAGCTCACTGGAGGTCAATGCTAAGGACAGGCCAAATGAAAGGCCATTGTTCTTAGGAGCTGGGAGGGAACTATGGCCCCAAGCAGGGGCAACAGCAGGGGCAAAGCAGGGGAGGCGAGGAACCACGGTGCCTGGAGTGAAAGTGGAAGACTTCCACACTAGTTTCCTATTGCTTTCCCCACCCTGGTGCTGGGGATTAAACCCGGCCGCAGCATGCTGGACAAGCCTCTAACCCGGAGCCACATCCTCAGCCCTTTTATATTTTGAAACAGGGACTCACTCAAGTTGCTCAGGCTGGCCTCAAACTTATGGGGATGTGTTGTTGTTTTCTTTTTTAAAAAACAGGGATTAAACTCAGGGGCGCTGAACCACTGAGCACATCCCCAGCCCTTTTTTGTATTTTATTTCGAGACAGGGTCTTCTGAGTTGCTTAGGGCCTCGCTAAATTGCTGAGGCTGGCTTTGAACTCACGATCTTCCTGCCTCAGCCTCCCGAGCCGCTGGGATGACAAGGCTAAGTGGAATTTTATGTGAACATTTTTCCTTTCTCCGCCCCTCCCTCCCAGGACCTCGAGCACTAGACCGGCCATCTACCACTGAACTACATCTCCCGCGAAAGTGCAATTGTGTTTAATCTAAACTCATTTGTTACTGATGTCCTTCCCATCTTTCTTAGTGGACTACCCATTTCGATGACTGTGACCAACTTTCAAAACTAAGCCGGACCTTCGCTCCGCCACCAGGGCGGTTCCGGAGGCGGGCTCCCTGCGGGGCGGCGGGTGGAGCTCCGCCAGCCTCTCCCTCTTCCGGCCTCAGCCCCAGTCAACTGGAGGGGGGCGCAGGTCCACTCCCACTCGGACCTGGTGGCCACGCCCGCCTAGGGCCAGGTTCCAGTGACTCAGCAGAGCTGCCCGGGCTCTGGCAGCAGCTGCAGAGAGCCCTGCACCCAGGTGCTAGAGCTTCCTCCCCCACCGTGACCTTGGGCGGGGGCTCCCCACTCTGGCATTGGTCTGTCTTGGGTGAAAGGAGAGGGCTAGATTTTGTATGATGTTCACAGCTTCTTGTCTGCCCACATTCTGAGGCGCTGTACCTGGGGTGCCTTCCTGAACGCAGATTCCCCAGCTCCACTCCATCTGTGTATTGGGTCCTACTTCACTGAGGTATGGACCTTTAGTATTTATTAAGTACCTACTACATGCCAGGAATTGGGGATACAACAATGAACAAAATAGACAGTACTTCCTGCTCTTATGGAGGATGTCTTTGTGGAGGAGACATAAGAAATAAATTAGAAAAATGTATGATAAATACATGTCCCAGAGCCAGGCACAGTGGCCCGTATCTGGAATCCCAGTGATCAGGGAGACTGAACCTGAAGGATCCCAAATTCCTTGGCCAGCCTGGGCAACTTAGTGAGACCCTGTCTCAAAATAAAAAAGGCTGGGGATGTGACTCAGTGGTAAAGTGACCCTGGTTTCAATTCCCAGTGTCAAAAAATGTATAAATAAATAAATTGGGTGTTATACCGAGAAAGATTTTTTATTTATGTATTTTTTCCAGTACTGGGGATTGAACTCAGGGGACCTTTTCCACTGAGCTACATTCCCAGACTATTTTGAGTATCTTGCTTAATTGCTGAGGTTGGCCTCAAACTTGTGATCCTCCGGCCTCAGCCTCCTGAGTTACTGGGATTATAGGTGTGTACCACTTGCCCAGCTGCTCACAGTTTTGTTTTTGTTTTAATATTTATTTTAGTTGTAGGTAGTCACAATGCCTTTATTTTATTTTTATGTGGTGCTGGGGATCGAACCCAGTGCTACGTGCATGCTAGGCAAGCACTCTACCTCTGAGCCACAACCCCAGCCCTGCTCACAGTTTTTGTGGACCACAAATTCAGAAGCAGATTTGCTGGGTGGTGCTCCCCACCTCCCCATCCCCCCAAAAAGAGCAAACTGAAATTTAGGTTAAGTATCTTTCCCAAGGTCATACAGTAAGTTGCAGGGCTAGGACCTGAACCAGGATGCTTCTGACATAAAAGTCTGTGCCTCTAACCTCTGCATCATACTCCCTCTGTGGACACTGCTAGGTGGCTATGTCAACTGAAGTGACAGGAAGCCTACTGCATCTCTGGCAAGGACATAGAAGCTGCAGGACCTTTCACATACATGCCCATCCTGGCCACAGCCTAATTGAAGCAAGAGGTCAATAGACCAGAAACAGGTGCGACCTTGTATTTCAAGCCAACACACATTTATTGATACCAATCAAATGCCGTTTACCTGAATGGCTCTGGTGAGAGGTGGCACAATCAGCATATGGTTTGCAGGACAGCTGGTGGCTGCAGGGGCACCTCTCCCAGGTGGGGACTCAGGAAAGGGCATGGATTTCTCTAGACCAGGATTTTCACACTCAGCACTACTGCCATTGGGGGTTTATAATTCTGTGTTTGGAGGCTGAACTGTGCACCAGAGGGTGCTGGACTCTACCACAACATGCTCCTCTGGCCTCTAGTTGTGACAACCAAAAATGTCTCTAGGCATTGCCAAATGACCTGGGGACAATATCCCCTGTTGAGAACCACTGGTTTGGGGTTTTTGTTTTTGGTACCAAGCATTGAACCCAGAGGCCTTAACCACTGAGCCACATCCCAGCCCTTTTTTTGCATTTTATTTTGAGACAGGGTCTCGCTGAGTTGCTTAGGGCCTCTATAAGTTGCTGAGGCTGGCTTTGAACTTGTAGTCCTCCTGCCTCAGCCTCCTGAGCTGCTGAGATTACAGGCGCGTGCCACCATACCCAGCTAGAACCCTTGTTCTTGATTAAGGAAATACACTGAGCCATGGTATCTGGGGAAGGATTGAGATTTTGGATAAATCACCTTAATGGGAGCCTTATTTTTCTCATCTATAAAATATCATATTTAAATTATTGTGAGAATGCCAATAAAGCACCTGACACACAACAGGCTCCCAATAAGTAATAATTCCTTTCTAGCATAGGACAATGACAACAAGCCCTCATCCACAGTCTCAACAAACTAAGGGTTGCACCCAAGAGTGTGATCTTGGCATCTTGGGCCTCAGTGTTTCTGCCTCTCAGAAGGCATTGGGGGAAGGGAGGAATATAAACTAGATTAGGGTCTCCCAACTTCCTATCCAGGTCCTTTTTTTTTTTTTTTTTTTTTAGAAAACAGCTTTCACTCATAATTCATTTATTTTCCACTTGCCAACATGGCTCTGCGGGGCAAGACTCACCCCAACCTCCAGGAGAGTTGAAGATCCCAGTCAAAACTCTTAAGCAAACTCTTCTCAACTGATATGGGATGGTTCTTTGGCTTGCAGAAAGACCACAAGTGCATTCTGCCATCAGAAGCTCCTGAATATCATACTGGGAACCACAGCTGGAGGCTCTCTGAGTCCTCAGTGGTGCAGTGCAGTGCTCGCCTGACACGCAGGGGGCTCTGTGGGACACCTGCTGAGTGGCACTGCTGATGGGCAGACAGCTAGGCTGGGAGACCACCCCTCTCCAGTCCGTGTACCTCCAAATCCCTTCCTTTCCCTGGGCCTCACCCCATTCTGAAAGATGAGAGCTCGGGCTGGGGATGTGGCTCAAGCGGTAGCGCGCTCGCCTGGCATGCGTGCGGCCCGGGTTCGATCCTCAGCACCACATACAAACAAAGATGTTGTGTCCGCCAAATACTAAAAAATAAATATTAAAATTCTCTCTCTCTCTCCCTCCCTCCCTTTAAAAAAAAATTCAAAAACTTATAAAAAAAAAAAAAAAAGAAAGATCAACACGGATGTGGATGGGGACCTTTCAGGACTCCAAGATGAAGGTGGTACATGGGGACCCTGAGGTTGCAGAAAGTCAAGGGATGGGAATATGGGAGGAGTGGGAATGACAGAGCTCTGGGAGTGACCCAGAGGCTGTTTTGTCTCTGTTTGGTTGCTTTCCTAAGGCAGCTTAGCCTGTTGCTCCAAGCCTCAGTATTCCCACCTATAAAATGGTGTGAATAATCTATACCTCAGGGCCATAGAAAATAAGGATAAGGACTTTGAAAAGTATGAAATCTATACACAGGAGAAATACTCTTATAATTTGGGAGACCTGAGACTTCATTATCAGATCACACTGGAGCAGTTTTAGAGGCATTTGAGAGTAGGCTCCAGAGTCCAGGGGGCTTAGAGAAGTCTCTCTGGCCTGGAACTTCTCTGAGAGTTGCTTCACATTCCTTCCAGCTCCAGCCTCCCTCCATCTGTCCCTGCAGGGATGGTGATGGGCAAAGGGCCTGTTCCTATGACACAATCTTGGCCCCAAGAAACAGCCATCATCTCCTTCTGCTACCTCATCTGTGCACTTGCCTACAGACCCTATTGAACATCCCCAAGATCACTATAACAAGAGCTCCTGTGATCCCAGCGGCTCTGCAGGCTGAGGCAGGAGAATCGTGGGTTCAAAGCCAGCCTCAGCAATGAGGAGGTGCTAAGCAACTCAGTGAGACCCTGTCTCTAAATAAATAAAATACAAAATAGGGCTGGGGATGTGGCTCTGTGGCTGAGTGCCCCTGATTTCAATCCTCATTATCCCCCCAAAAAGAATTCCCACACCCACAAATTGAATACAACACATGTAGCCTCAATTCCTACTGCACCCAGCTATGTACAGGG